GAGCAGGGAGCCCGATGTGGGACTCGATCCCGGGACTCCAGGATCATGACCTGAGCCGAAGGCAGTCGCTTAACCAACTGAGCCACCCAGGCGCCCCTCCAAGTATTTTTATTTTAGAAAAGATATCTAAAAATATATATAAATCAAAAACCAAATACAAATCTAGTATCTATATGCCTCACATTAATTATAGCAATTTCTTGTGACAATCTTCATCACAGAGCTTTCCTGGCTAGAGTAACAGAAAAGATCCTATCTTTTGCTCCCAGACATTAATTACATAAAGTTTGAAAGCAATGCCATCTAGTGGACGTCTTTTTCATAAAAAGTATTCTTTTCACGTATGCACTTAAGTTTCATTCATTCAAAACATATTTATTGAGGGGCGCTTGGGTGGCCCAGTTGGTTAGGCATCCAATTCTTGGTTTCAGCTCAGGTCATGATCTCGCGGTTGTGGGATCAAGCCCCGCATCAGGCTCTGTGCTCAGTGTGGAGTCCGCTTCAGATTCTCTCTCCCTCTCCTCTCCCTCTCACTCACTCTCTCTCTCTCAAATAAATACATATTTTTTTTTAAAAAAACATATTTACTGAAGACCTACTATATGCCAGGCACCATTCTAGGTGCTAAGGATGGGACAATGGACAACAACAACACAAACAAAAAAGCTTCCCTCATGGAACTTACAGTTTACTGAGAGAGACAAACAAATACATATTATATACATCAGGTAATAAGTGCTCTAAAGCAAAATGAACCAGGATGAGGGAACAGATTGTGAAAGATGGAAGCAAGTACTATTTTATGTAAAGTGGTCTGGGAAAGCCTCTTTAATAAGGTGAATTTGAGCAATGGTTTAAGGGAGATGAGAAAATGAACCATTTGATATCCAGGTCTGTGGTATTTTGTTTAGATATTATTTAGTAAAATAAGAAACCTGGAAGCAGAACTGATATGATCTGACTTCTTCTTTTTTTTTTTTTTTAAAGAACCACTCTATCAGATTTGGAAAAAAGCCTGTACATGGGGCACGGGTAGCAAGACCAGCAAGTACAGCAGTCCAGATAAGAGATGATGGTGACTGTCCCTGGAGAAGAGCTCAGCTGATTAGAAGTCACTGATATGAGGAAGTCTTAATCTCAAGAAACAAACGAGGGTTGCTGGAGTGGTGGGGGGTGGGAGG